TGGAAATAATTATGCATACAATGGACTCAGGACAAGGTGCGTTTCTATGAGTCTTCCTACCATTATGACCGAGTTGCGAAAACAAGGTCAAACAACTTTTATAAAGTAATTTGGTTAGCTAAGGTCATATGTCAACTTCTCTGCATGTGAGTGTGTCTGTCTCTGTATTTGTATGTACATGTTTGTGTTCGCTCATGCACGAGATCCGAAGTGATGGCTCAAAGTAATTAGGACAGCAAAAAGGAACGTCTTTTTTTGGCCATCAAGGTTTGATGACCCCTATTTCCCCCTTTATACATTTAAGTTATAACCATCACTCCGATTGCGCAAGGTCGGACACATCTGGTTTTGTTAATGAGCCTATTTTTTGTTTTTGGTCTCAATGCGAGAGAGAAACAGTGAGCTAAAACAACAGAGAATTGGCTATCAAATAGAACCGAAATAAGAAAAGAGTAGTTGCGTTGCCTCCTTTTTGCAGGCGGCTCAACTCCCTCTCTATCGTTCAATCTAGCAATTAAGCACAAATAGTTTTTACTTATCTTCTTGCCGGTGTTCCTTACATTCAATGTATTTCCTATTCTGTTTATTTTTGTGGCTTCTCTGATTTTACGTTTAGCCTCAGACATGCCATAATCAGCAAAACGACAAATCTGAGATTATTCATTCTCGTGTCCCGTTTCTGCCCTGCGCTCAGTAAGCTCCGATTTTTTAACCTAACAGACTTTGCAGGCGCTTTTGTGTTCAGGTAAAGAGATAAGTAAAAACTATTTGTGTTTAAGTGTTAGATTGAAAGATAGAGAGGGAGTTGAGCCGTCCGCAAAAAGGAGGCGACGCAACTAGTCTTTTCTTATTCGGGTTCTAATGATAGTCAATTCTCTGTCCTTTTAGCTCACTGCTTCTCTCTCGCATTGAGACCCAAAAAATAGGCTCATTAACAAAACCAGACGTTTCCGACCTTGCTCAATCAAAGTGATGATTATAACTTAAATGTAGAAATAGGGAGATAGGGGTCATCAAAGCTTGATAGCCAAAAAAAGACATTCCTTTTTGCTGTCCTAATTACTTTGAGTAATCACTTCGGGTCTTGTGCATAAGCGAACACAAACATGCACATACAAATACTGAGACAGACACACTCACATGCATAGAAGTTAACATATGACCTTAACTAACCAAATCACTTTATACTTGATCAAGGAGGCCAGATCTAGAGTATATATATAACTTTTTAGGGATTTACCGGTGAGTTTTCTTGGCTTGTTAGCCTGAATTTTGTTGGGACGATGTTACCTCGCTCTGATGATGCCCGTCCGCTTAGCACCTTTTAACCGGAATCGAAGGAGATTGCCTCGGAAACAGCGTCAGCATGAATCTTCCAGTAACGCCAATTGACAGCTGGTCAAGAGAAATCCACCGTCGTCTTCTGGTGGAACTGACCTTCAAATATCTTCACCCCCAACACTTACACTCGAAATAGAAGTAAGCTCAACAATAATATAACAAGAGATTCCTTGAAACCCAACTTTTCTTCGTATATCTTTACCTAAAGTCTATATTAGATGCATCCACATATATATTATTTCTTTATCGTGAGTTATTTTGTTTATTCTCGGATAAACAGTCTAGTATGAGAACATGAGATACCTTTTTATTTTAATACCAGTTAATATAGGATGAACTTATTCACTCTACTTGCTTAAAATATTCTTACTATCGGGCAATGCTACAAAGACTTTGGGCTGATAGAATGGTTATTTCTGTGAGAATAATATAATTGTGTTATAATTTCTCTACCCATCACAAAGATAACACTCATAAAATAGTAGAACAAGATCTTTATACCTGATAAAAAAAATTCTTAAATTTCCTTTTGTTGTAGCTTAAAAATATTTTTTTTAATAGTCTTGTATACACAACGGCTCTACTCGCATACCTAACAAGCAGTATCTAAAAGTTTATAGAAAAATATTTGAGTCTTGCTTACATCAATCATATGTAACTGGGCTTTGATAAATCTCCTGAGATAATATTTGTGTGACGACTTTGATTTCGTGTTAAAGTACCTTATGAGGAGACTTGCTGATCTTCATCACAAACTTTTAGTCGAAATTAAGGTGAGCTGAACAATGATGATTTCATGTCCGGAATTATATGCCTACAGGCGCAAACGAACTTTGGACTTTTGTATGTTGAATTGTGCGAATGAAACCTCGGCTCTTCGTCCTACGACCCCGAATAATCCGTGCTGAGTTTTCGTCTGTCATGTGACGAACATCGTCAGATTCTCTTCCTAACTTAGAAGTTCATATGGAGATCATCGTTTTCAAAACTCATTACTAAACGCCAAGACCATACAAGTTAATCACACTCGATTTTCGAAAGTATGTCCTTTGCTTAGTACAATAATACAGTACTAGGTCGGCATGTCTCACCAATATAACATCGACCACATGAGCAAAGAATCTTGTAGAAGCCGGATCTAGATAATGGGTCATATTTCTCTCTAAAAGATGGCATAATAGAAGAAAATGTGAGTGTTTCCTTGAACACTGTTTTTATGCCCCATTTTTTTACTATTTCGCCTATTTTTTTTT